GGAAAACAGTTCGTATCCAAGGCGTTTGAGGAGATGATCGATGGCTTCGGTATACAGCACATGAGGACTCCCGTATACTCACCACAGAGCAATGCCGCGGAGAGGGTAAGCCGGAACGTCTTGGCCGCAATTCGCAGCTTCTTGGACGAAGATCACCGGGAATGGGATGCACATTTGCCGGAGATTTAGGTGGCCATCCGAAACACTGTCCACTCAACCACAGGGGAAGCGCCGTTCTTCACTGTATTCGGCCATCACATGTTCCTCAACGGTTCCAGCTACAAACTAGCCAGACGACTCAGGTCTCTGGTCGACCATGAAATGGCCGGAATGCAGACCAAGGACAAGCTTCGGGTTATCCACGTCAAGGTGCAGAAGCAACTGGAGGGTGCATACCAGACGAGCCGGCAGCGCTACGATAAGCTAGCCCGTACGCTGCTCGCCAAGCCAGGCCAAGAAGTCTTCCGCCGCAACTTCGTGCTGAGTGATTTCAGCAAATCTTTTAACGCCAAGTTTGCTCGCAAGTTCCTTAAAGCCAGGGTGATCAAATCCGTCGGCAGCAATGCATACTTGCTGGAGGATCTCCAAGGCCGCAGTCTGGGAGTGTATCATGCCAAAGACATCCGGTTGTGACCTGAAAGAAGGACAAATCAAAGTATACGAGCATCGCGATCACATGTGCAATACTTCCCGTCATGCGTGGGCCCCGCGATAGGCGTCGATCGAACTGCAGGATGGTATCAGTGCCGTGTTGAATCCCATCGTATCTCCAAAGCTACCAATTATTTCATCGTTCTGCTGAAACTCTGGGCAGCGCCCCTCGAAATCTTTGGTTGATGTTGGAATTGGAGTCGAGTGGGAGCGACGTTATCGATAGGTTAGGTCGATAGGGCGATAGCTGCAGCAGCGGGATGAGTCTGGCGGGCGATCTGGCCATTTAAAGATTAATCCCGGTTCGCTCTGGGATTACTTCAAATGGCCCATGTTCCCAATGACCCAATGTTGAGAGAGGCCATGTAATATGGCGGGGGGCGATGATCAGCAGATATCGTGATAGTCGCGGCCATACTGTCCAACAATCAAGGCAGATGCAGCTAGGAGTGATAGTATAAATTTTCTTTGTGCTTGAAATTAAATAGTGAGTTATGCAGTTGGTGAAGGTGGTCAAAAAGGGCTTGAGGGACGGCATCGCTAGGTATGTTTACGCGATGGACGTACTCACGGTAGACGAACTTCGGGAGGAGTGCGTCGAAGTAGAGAGGAGTTTCGGTCGTCGAGGGAGTGCTGCTTACCTGCAGCAGAACAAGGTACGGGTCAGCGAGGCGCACGTACAGGACGAAGTCGACGAGCAGCGACACCTGGAGGTGGACGAGCTACGTGGGCGATTCCGAAATCCATTTAGGTCAGGTTGCTGGAATTGCGGGGTTGCGGAGCACGGATTCCAAGATTGCGAGGCCACGGAGTGGAGGAGATTTTGTTTCCGGTGCGGCAAGCTGGGCGTGATTTCTCCAAAATGTCCCGATTGCGCGGGAAACGGTCGATTGGGCAGTCCGAAAGCGGGAGGCACTCGGCCAGGTTGGAATCCCGCGAAGTAGATCCGAAGAAAGAAGACGAAAACAAGAATAAACATAGTCCATCTGATAGTCATAAGTACTTGTTAAGATACCTGCCGGAGGATGAAAGGCTTCGCCGTTATATGGAATCACGGAACCGGATTTTTGCGGAGCATCAGCTGAGCGGCATGCGTCTAGTCTCACGGAGAGTCCAGAAGGCAAGAGAGCGCTTCAGGATGAGGAGATCCAGACGACGAGAGGTGGTGGCGGCCGTTAAACGCATAGATGCCGCCGATCCTAGACCCTTCGCCGACGTGGAGACCTTGGGCAAGCAGCTCACCGGCTTTTTGGGTACAGGCGCCAGCGTAAGTGTGCTGGGCAAAGGCTGTCGAGAGCTCGTGGAAGCGCTGGGAGTTACCGTCCAACCGTATTTTTCGGTAGTCCGTACGGCTACTGGCGAAGATCGATCCATCATCGGACGCTTGGAGCTGCCTGTGAGGTACAAAGGCGTGAGTAAGCCGGTCACGTTCTACCTGTGCCCATACCTGGAACAAACGGCGTACTTCGGAGTCGACTTCTGTCGAGCCTTCGGACTAGCTCCAGCCGTCGTGGCGAAGCCGGCGACGAGGGGCGTCAAGGCAGCGGAGGAAATCCATGCCAGCCAGATGGAGCACTATGCGGACCAGGAAGATGAGGACGAGGTAAGGGAGGAACCCGAATCCTGGAGCCTTTCTGCGGAGGAAAAACTGGCGTTAGGCAAGGTCAAGGAGGAGTTCCTTACCTTTGAGAGGGACGGCCTCGGAGTCACCAGCATGGAGAGGCATTCCATCGAGCTGATGGAAGGAGCTCGGGTCTTTAAGGATCGTCCGTATCCGATGTCTCCGGCGAAGCAGAAGGTGGTCGAAGACGAAATCGACAAGATGTTGGAGCTGGGTGTCATCGAGGAGAACAAAAGCCCGTGGAGCAATCGCACAACAGTGGTGTCGAAGCCAGGGAAAGACCGGTTCTGCCTGGATGCCCGGAAGTTGAACGCCTTGACTATCAAGGATGCATACCCTCTACCCAGTATAGAAGGAATCCTCTCCAGAATAGATCAGACGCATTACATCTCCAGCGTTGACCTGAAGTTTGCGTTTTGGCAGATCGAACTGGATGAGAAAAGCAAGGAGTACACTGCGTTCACGGTTCCAGGCAGGCCGTTGTACCAGTTCCGAAAGATGCCGTTCGGGCTGTGCAACGCGGCACAACGCTTGGTACGGCTCATGGATCGGGTGATACCAGCGGAGCTCAGATCCAACGTCTTCGTCTACTTGGACGACCTGCTAATCCTCGCTCCAGATTTTCAGACGCACCTGAAATACTTGCGTCGAGTAGCCCACAGTCTGAAATCAGCCGGATTGACCATAGGGTTAAAGAAGTCGAAGTTTTGCTTCAAGTCTTTGACTTACTTAGGGTTTATAGTCGGAAGTGGACTGCTGCGGATGGATCCTGGACGTGTTTCGGCAATTTAGAAGATGCCTTACCCGAAATCCATGAAGGAAGTACGTGCCTTCCTCGGCACAGCGGGATGGTATCGACGGTTCGTCAAGAACTTCGCTACGCTAGCCGCACCACTCTCCGAGTCCTTGAAGAAGGCTGGAAACACAAAGTTTTCCCTAAGTCCCAGCGCCACCCAGGCAGTGGATGACCTGAAGTTGGCCTTGACGAGCGCGCCGGTCCTGGTTCATGCGGATTTCAAGAAGCATTTCTTCATCCAGTGCGATGCATCCCACGTTGGCGTCGGCGAGGTATTGTTTCAGCGGAACCAGGACGGAGACGAGCAGCCCATCGCGTTCTTCTCGGCCAAGATAAACAAACACCAGGTTAACTACTCGGTCACGGAAAAGGAATGTTTGGCGGCCATCCTAGCTATTCGGAAGTTCAGACCGTATGTGGAAGGGATGCCCTTCACATGCATTACCGATCACGCCAGCCTTAAGTGGTTGATGACCATGAAGGATCTGTCCGGACGACTCGCAAGGTGGTCTCTCCAGCTGCAGGGCTACGATTTCAGTATTGAACATCGTAAAGGCAGCGAGAACGTAGTCGCTGACACTCTGTCCTGCATCATAGAGGAAGTCCGGATAGATCCAACGGGGGTACTGGGATTCGAGACGACCGAATTTGCTGCGGAGGATTATACGGAGTTAGTGAAAGACGTGGAGTCAAACAGGGAGCACTTACCGGACCTCAAAGTGGACGGCGGACTAATCTTCAAGCGCATGAAGAATCCGAAAATGGACGAGGAACTGAAGGGATCGAATGGAAGCTGTGGATCCCGCAAAGCCTGACGCACAGCTTGGTAGAGCTCATTCGGACCCCAAGGCTGGCCATGGTGGGATGACGAACACCTTGGAGATCCTGCGACGCCAGTTCTATTGGCCAGGGATGACCATCCAGGTACGGGCATACGTCCGGGGTTGCGAGGTGTGCAAGGAATCCAAAGCGCCAAACTTCCGGATGCAGGTCGGAATCGGAAGAAGGGTAGAGACGGAGAGGCCATTCCAGAAACTGTACATCGATTTCTTGGGCAAGTATCCGAGGTCCAAGAGTGGACACGCCTGGATATTTATCGTGGTGGACCACTTCTCGAAGTACACCTTCTTAAAGCGATGAAGGAGGCGACGGCGTCGAACTTTGTAAATTTCCTGGTAAACGAGGTATTTTACAAGTTCGGGGTGCCTGAGACGATAATTCAGACAACGGAAAACAGTTCGTATCCAAGGCGTTTGAGGAGATGATCGATGGCTTCGGTATACAGCACATGAGGACTCCCGTATACTCACCACAGAGCAATGCCGCGGAGAGGGTAAGCCGGAACGTCTTGGCCGCAATTCGCAGTTTCTTGGACGAAGATCACCGGGAATGGGATGCACATTTGCCGGAGATTTAGGTGGCCATCCGAAACACTGTCCACTCAGCCACAGGGGAAGCGCCGTTCTTCACTGTATTCGGCCATCACATGTTCCTCAACGGTTCCAGCTACAAACTAGCCAGACGACTCAGGTCTCTGGTCGACCATGAAATGGCCGGAATGCAGACCAAGGACAAGCTTCGGGTTATCCACGTCAGGTGCAGAAGCAACTGGAGGGTGCATACCAGACGAGCCGGCAGCGCTACGATAAGCTAGCCCGTACGCTGCTCGCCAAGCCAGGCCAAGAAGTCTTCCGCCGCAACTTCGTGCTGAGTGATTTCAGCAAATCTTTTAACGCCAAGTTTGCTCGCAAGTTCCTTAAAGCCAGGGTGATCAAATCCGTCGGCAGCAATGCATACTTGCTGGAGGATCTCCAAGGCCGCAGTCTGGGAGTGTTATCATGCCAAAGACATCCGGTTGTGACCTGAAAGAAGGACAAATCAAAGTATACGAGCATCGCGATCACATGTGCAATACTTCCCGTCATGCGTGGGCCCCGCGATAGGCGTCGATCGAACTGCAGGATGGTATCAGTGCCGTGTTGAATCCCATCGTATCTCCAAAGCTACCAATTATTTCATCGTTCTGCTGAAACTCCGGGCAGCGCCCCTCGAAATCTTTGGTTGATGTTGCAATTGGAGTCGAGTGGGAGCGACGTTATCGATAGGTTAGGTCGATAGGGCGATAGCTGCAGCAGCGGGATGAGTCTGGCGGGCGATCTGGCCATTTAAAGATTAATCCCGGTTCGCTCTGGGATTACTTCAAATGGCCCATGTTCCCAATGACCCAATGTTGAGAGAGGCCATGTAATATGGCGGGGGGCGATGATCAGCAGATATCGTGATAGTCGCGGCCATACTGTCCAACAATCAAGGCAGATGCAGCTAGGAGTGATAGTATAAATTTTCTTTGTGCTTGAAATTAAATAGTGAGTTATGTTAAAGTTCTATAGTAGTTCGGTATTTAATATTTATCATTTATAAAGGCAGCCGGGGTCCCAATACAAAGGGCCCCGGAAGAATTTATTTGGAATATTACTGACGTCGCCATACTTCGCCATACCTACCAGCCCGACTTGGCTGCCCAGCAACCGGTGTCCGTTCGACCCGTGCCAACGACCATCCAGAAAGGCCTTCCACAGTCGACGCCGACGACGTCAACATTTCCCGGTGAGTCCGTTCCGGCGTACCGCGTCCTCCTCATCTCGGGAACTTCCAGCGGTCGCATTGCGGCGCTGAGAACTATCGCCATTTTGTTTGGCAGCCGACTCTCGGACTGTCCTTGCGCAACTCACCGGAGAGCGCCGTTTTCCCGTGTGGAGATCCGTATCACTGCTGGCCTCCGGCGGAAAGTCATCAGCCCGGGCTATCACCGCCTTCAGGCCCGGCCCGACAGTGGCTGAAATCAAGGAAAATTTGAATACACGTGTACCTCGATTATATATATTGATATCTACTTACCTGTTTGTGAGTTTATCCGGAGTTAGACCCGAGAGCCTTTATTTGTCCTCGTTGTTTGCCTAAATTAAAAAGGTCGCGAGCATTAGTTAGCTTACAGTGCAGTTACGTACCTTTTTTGGCCTGTCCCTTCTTTTCCCCTGGAGCTCCTCAGGATTAGGTGACAATACACACGCGCATCGCGCATGTTCCTTTGAGGGCCGCGTTTCCATGCGAGCTCTACAATACATGCTGTTAGAGCATAGTTTCCGCGGCATAGTTTACCGCGTAAATATCCGAGACGGCGGCCCAGGTTTCGGTCTTAAAGGCTGAGGAAGGATAAATCTGTTAAGAGGAGCATGTATATAAACGATTGTACTTACGATATTATTAAACCTTTGTAATACCCACTATGTGTGAGTAAGCTTTCCCAGTGGAGGAGATGAAACCGCCGTATTCGCGAGGAGGGGGCTCCTGCCGACTGCGAATGGGTGGTGCCCTGCAGCATCTTGAGGGCATCCATGGTTGGGTGGGAGCGCTTGGCTAGGTCACCGATAGCCACCAAATGTAATCCATTTTTCCGTCAATATTTGTAGATTTTTGCTTTGTTTACGTTTTTGTCCTTAGTGATGACCAATAGATTAGTAAAGTAAGACCGCGAAGTTATCGATACTTATGTTGCGAGCTGTGGCATTAGGGGTACTCTGCCTGAGAGAAGACTGAGCTAGCGGCACTGCCACCGAAAAAGCAGTTCGTAACAACTAGTTTTGACGAAATGACATCTACTGATTCTCCTTTAACTTTATTTTTTAGTTTGTCTATTGTACGCCGGGGGGTAGCGGGGTACCGGTGGCGCTGGTAGAATGGCGTGGGAGGCGACGGCGGGAACTGGTGGCGTCGGCGGGCTGCTGCGCTGGGCTTTGGCGCTGGGCTTCGGCGGTTTGTTTCTGGTGCGGCGGAAAGTGTCTAAGCTGTAGGAGAGAAAAACACTGGAAACGCGAAGTGCCCCTTGACCGAAAAGTAATTACGCAAAAGGTTCACTGTACAAATTAGGCGGGGGTGCGACCGTGGTTTATTCAATATGAATGCCAAAATTGAACTGCCTAAGTCTAAGCTCAGCTTCGCGCTCCAAAGCGCAGCGGAGACTTCACGGAGGGGAGCTTGGAACAGAGCAGGAGAGCGGGAGCGCGAGAGAGCGGTGCAGTCGGATAGCGGGGCCGGTCCAGATTCGCCGGACAGTGGGCCTGAACATTCCGACCCCCTTGCAATAGCTAGCGTTGCAAAAAAGGAGACGGAAGTTCGGACAGTCACCTACGCCTTAAGCCTGCGTACAGGCGCTGAAAAGGATCCACCCGAACACCGTCTTCTGGGCTACTGGCAGTCCCTCGTCGACCATGTGGAAGCCCGGCTGTATCACCTTCGGGTAGACGTACGCGCCCAGGATCAAGGAAATAGTGGCTGGCCGGTGGAGACGCTCATCAGCGAGCGGTAGCTCCTTAAACTTCTGGACAACGCTCTCACTGAGCGCACGGATGGGGGTGCGGATGCGCACGTTCGGCTCGAACTTGAGGACCACCTCCAGCTTGATGGCCTCGTCGACCTTCGAACGAATCGTCGCCGTGCAGATGCTCTCATCGCCCACGTTTGTTGTCGGCAAACGAAACGCGGCAGCCAGGGATGCACCGATGGAGCTTGTCGGGGTGCACGGATCGATGAGTGCGGCGGTGTCGAACGTCTTCTCCCCGGTCTCGACGATCACCAAAGCAGACGGGAGACGTTGACGCTATGACGCTGGAGAAGTGCCGCGAGCGACGGAGCTGGTGTCGAGGATGCCGAGCGCGGTGGAGGGGCAAGCGTTTGGCGAGTTGGCGGATCTTGCCGGCGCGAACGTTGCGGAGAAGCGGGCTGTTGTTTGGAGCCGGACTTTTTCCGGGAAACAAGTGCGTGCATGTGGAGCAACGGTTGCACGTTCTGCACCGGTCAGCGCTACGACAGCTCCCAGACGAGTGCTCGTGTGCGAGACAGTTCGCGCAGTACTGGTTTATAAGAACTGCCCGCAGCCGCTTCTCTGCGCTCAGCTTTAGGAACCTCTGACACTTCTGAAGAGGATGGATTCCGCGGCAGACTCAGCATCGGTAGGACTGAGTACCTCTCGTACGTCTACTATCCAATGCCTGAGTGCTACGTGGACGGGGAGCCATTTTCCTGTTTAGAGTTTGGATAAGGAAAAAACAAACAGGGCTGATTAACAATGACGTGGATAATGGCTACGGACTAAGGTGTATATGAAACGTGGCTCGTTACGAGGTAGTTTTGGACGGCTCTCTTGGAAGAAGAACCACCTTGGTCACTGGACGTTTGACAATGCCGCGTATCGTACGAATGTCGACTACGCGGACATTACCATCGACACCTGGAAGAACGGAGTCTATTCTTCTGAGTCGCCACTCATTTGAGGGCAAATTGTCATCCTTAATGACGACCAGTTCGCCGACACGCAGATTTTCTGTGGGGACTTTCCACTTGTTGCGCTTGTGGAGCTCCTTAAGGTATCATCCTTCCATCGAGTATGGAATTGTTGATGGAGAGACTTTAAGTGCTGTCACCGGTTCAGAATGGACTTGGATTCGCCCTTAATTCAGGTTCCACTATGGATAGAAGAGGTCCACCAACAGAAAGTGCCCTGGTGTCAACGCTAAGTGATCAGTTGGTCCTCTGACATGGGAGATAGCGGTCTGGAACTCAGACAAGCTTCGATTTTCGATAGGAGGATGGACAGCTCTTCAAAGATGTACTTCCGTTTAGCGGTGGACTTGTAAAACAAGGTGTTGAAGCTCTTGACACCAGCTTCCCATAGGCCTCCCATATGGAATGAATTACCAGGTGAGCTGCTGATAACTATACGCATCGGTCACAGACTCCTTAACGGCTTGCAAGAAGTCTCGGAAAAGCACGGTGGAAGCGCCGACGAAGGTCTTTCCATTGTTGGACTGGACTTGGGAGGACACCCTTATAGATACGAAACGAGCGAAAGCGGCAATAACTTTTCAGTCGTTAAGTCGGATGTAGGTCTAGATGGATGGCTTTGTAAAAAATCAAACGAAAACCAGCACATACCCTTTTGTAATGAGACAAGCTCTTCCGGTATAATGTTATATATCAAACGGGCCGGTGTAGTCCATCCCTGTGTACGTGAACGGACGGAAAAAAGACACTCGCTCTTTTGGAAAGCTTCCCATCATCTGGAGTTAACCACTGCCTTCACCAAGTTCTTTATTCTCGGAACCCAGTATCTGGATCGGGTGAGACCCACACTAACGCGAGAGTGCACATTCGTACGGTAGGATTATCGGATGTGTTCATCATACCGCAAACTGTCGGAGGCCGTTACGCGGCCGCATGCCCTGATTAGCCCTTTCTTGTCTAAAAGGGGTTCAGGGAGAGTATCGATTTTGCCGCGGGCACAGGACGCTTCTGACTCAAATTGTCATAAACTGTTCCGCGGCGGCAACGTCCTGGGCCTCTAGACAGACCCCGAAAATTGGTGATTGTCTTCGACATCGCTGGGCAAATCGATGGACATACGCGAGGACCAGCAAAGCTCTATCTAATTTGGAAAAGCGATCCAGGAGGTCTTCTGTCGGCATAGACGCCACATGGGCTTTGACGGCACGCTTTCGATCTCAGTCACCGGCAGGTCGGTTCCTGGCTGGGCAATGAACACGTGGACGTTGCAGCCCAGTAGGTCCATGCACCAAAGCGGGTTATCCACCAGCTCTTGAAGGTTAACTCCTCGACCAGCCAAATCAGCTGGATTATGTTCGGATTGAACGTGTGACCAATTGGCTGCCTCAGTGGACTTGGTGATCTTCGTCACCCTGTTGGCAACGAACGTTGTCCAATGGCACGCTGGTTAGGCTAACCATGCTAGCACAATCGTGGAATCGGTCCAACAGCCTCGGCATATTAGGAAGAATGACTTCGGCCATCTCGGACAAAAGGAGAGCCCCACATAACTCCAGCCTGGGAAGGAACACCGTTTTGATTGGCGTCTTGGCCGTGGGCAAGTGCACCATCGTCTTATGGCCACCCTCTACGCGCACATAGATCGCAGCACCGTATGCATTTTGCAAGGCGTCACAGAATCCGTGATGCTCTACGCGGAACTCTGGACGGAAGGAAACCCATCTGGGTATTCTGACCTGGTCTAGGACCGAATAGCTCTGGAGAAAGCTGTTCCACCTTTGGCACAGCTCAATTGGAAGTTTATCGTCCCAGCCTAGATCCAGAAGCCAAATCTCTTGCATAAAGATTTAGGCACACACAACAAATGAAGCGAGCCAGCCTGCTGGATCAAACAGCTAGGCAATTTGGGAAAGGACTTGGCGTTTCGTGTGGGAGATTCCGTGCTAAATCTGGGGGGACGAAAAAGAACTCATCGGACGTCGCCTTCCATCGTACGCCGAGAGTTTCGGATGTGCTCTCAGTGTCGATCTCGATCTGAGCTAATATTTCTTTGTGGTTGGAGGTCCATTTTCTCAATGAAAGCCCCGCGGAATCTAGAGCACTTTATATTCTTGAACGTGGCCCTTACGACACCAAGCAACGCTTGTTACGCGCGGAGCCCTAAACCGATTTGGGCAAGAAAACGAAATCGCGGACTTGGAAAAAGACGACATAACAATAGACAGTTTAAAGTACATACATACACATAGAATGGCTAGTAACATAGAAATTTAAAAATTATTGGAAGAAAGAAAACACATAAGTTTATCATTATTAGTTGCATTAGGGCTATCAAACAGTAAGACGTGACACAGTGCATTATAGTCGTCACAAAGAACCCGAAAAGGATCATGAAGGGCATAATTGGATCTACAAATTGGCAGGGACAACGGACGAAAACGACGAACTGTTCTACAGGCTACATTCCAGTTGAGGGAACTAAGAAGGAAGGGAGAGTCGACATCACCATTAATTAATTTATGCAAAAACATAACTCCATGACACTTTCTACGATGGTTCAGGGTTGGTAAGTCCAGCAGGCGCAACCTCGCATGATAAGAGGGCAATCGACTTCCTGTG